GACAGCTCAGGTCGGCTGTTTTGGGGACAAGGTCAGAGAGGCCAGATTGAGATGGTTTGGACATGTGCAGAGGAGGGATAGTGGTTATATTGGTAGAAGGATGTTGGAGATGGAGCTGCTAGGCAAGAGGTCAAGAGGAAGGCCAAAGAGGAGATATATGGATGTGCTAAAAGAGGACATGAAGTTAATTTGTGTGAGAGTAGAGGATGCCGAGGATGGAGTTAGGTGGAAAGAGGTGATTCACTGTGGTGACCCCTAACGGGAACAGCCAGAAGAAGAAGAAGAAGAAGATTCACAGTTGGGGGCACTGCTGTCTCACACCATAAAGGTTCTGAGTTCAAACCTTCTAGCTGACTAGGGACTTTGTGTGTGGAGTTTAGCAATAATAATTTTATTTATATACCATGGTTAATATATAACTTAAAGTGCTGTACAACAATAAAAAAGCAAAGAGTAAAAGTGACTAAAAACAAGTAAGCATACAAAAGTGAAATGCAGTCAAATACAATAAAACACAACCAACTGAATAAAATAACAGTGTACAATAATCTACAATACAATATACAATAAAATAAAAAGCCCATGTTGTCTGATAATATTTTCTAGGGGCAGGATATAAAGATTAAAAAGTGTAGGTCCCAGAATTGAGCCCTGAGGGACTCCACAATTAATCTCCATTTCTGATGAATGCGACTCACACAGGGCACAACATAATCTCTACCTGTAAGAAACTGCCTAATCTAATTTAATACTGTGCTTGAGATGCCACCCTGGTTCTCAAAACAAGTAAACAAGAAGCTCTGATTGAAGGTGCTAAAAGCAGCATATAAGTCTAAAAGTATAAGGACAGGAATGTGTTTCTCTGTCCAAATTCATGCTAAGATCATTATGAACTTTGACTAATGCTGTCTCTGTGCTGTGATGTGAACCAAACCATGACAGATATTTCTCTACGATGCAAATTTTATCCAGATTCTGGTTTAATGGTGTAAAAACCAACTATTCCAGAATCTTGCTTAGAAAGGCCAAATTTGAAATTAGTCTCAAGTTACTTAAGAAGAGGTTTGACGATAGCAGTTCTAAGAGCAAAGAGACCATTCAGAGCCTGGATCATGTGTAATTGGTATAGCTAATGGATGGATTTTTATGTTCCTATGTCTTATTCGTCTCAACTAGGTGTCAGCTTCTTGGAGGGTAAAGAGGATATCATGGAAGACTGGAGGAAAAAATTCCTGAATACATATAAGGTGAGAAGGAGTAGCTCAGTGTTTCATCAGTGTCAAGTGCTTGTCCCTAAATTGTACCTTAGACTGAGCTGTGACCTGTTGTGCCAGTGAACCTGTGCCATTTCAAAATAGGAGTGGCTGTAATGTGCACCCATATCCAAAACAGATGCTCATCTTATATACAGTAGATATCAGCTCTGTATCACGTATTGTTTTTTTCAGGGGGCATCATCTAACACTGAGCTCTATGGAGTCAGATGTCTCTAGTCGCTAAACCTGAGCAATAATGTTTACTCTTTCAGCTGAAGTTTTGTCCTTAATATCTCCTAAGTCTACAAATGATTGGTGTCCTTTCCCTTTGTCTCTTTTCTCAGACAGGTCTAATGTTCTGGCCATTCATGCAGGTAAATATTAACATGCCCTCTTCATAGATGTTCATTTCCTGACACTTTAGCAAGTTTATATGGAGAAGAAAATCTAAGCTCAACTCATGAATAATTCAGAGCTTTCAACCATATCTTACAGTCTCAGAATAAACATGATGTGTGTTAGTAAGTGAATTATTGAGTATGGATTCTCATCACCATTAAAATACATTTTCATTAATAGGATGATTTTTGAAAGATAAATTTAGAGAACAAGCCTGTAAATATTAGCTCTATCCAAATCGTAGCACAAAACTGACAAAGAATGAGCTTTATGTTCTAAATGTCATTAACACAGGCTCTCTGAATGACTTCTTAGACCATATTTGTTACGGCCTGCACCGTCAGGTGAGCTCAAGATGTGGACCCAATATGCAACACGCAAAAGCCGGTTCTATGAATGGTATTTATTGAATAAAGGACAGGGAAGGCTAAGTGCACACGTACAGCTGTATGAATACAGAAGGGAAAGGGAACCAACTGGACAGCTGGAAGCAGGCACGGGGAAGATGCTTGAGCAGAGGAGGAGGCACTGGTGGTACTGTATGACCCAGGTGTAGCTAGGCTGCCCAGAGAAGGAGGGAGAGTGCTCCTCTGCAGGAAACAGGAAAGATGGTTGATGTGCGCTGGTGTCTGTATTCTGAAGGATGGCGTTGGTGGGCGCACCTGAGGGTGAAGCAATTGAGTAGTAGAGGAGTCGTTTACTGCTGGCGTGGAGCTGTGGCAGGTGGTGAGGTGCTGGAGGTCAGAACAGGCGAGCACGGTACTGAGACGTACAGTAGTGGCAACTGGTCCAAACTACAGGAGCTGTCTTGGCAGGCTGGGGTGCAGGGTAGAGTTCAGGATTGCTCGAGTTGGAATCATCATGGAGATCTGCATCCATAACAGGAGACAGAGAGCCAGGAACACGTCTATGAACATGAGACAAACTGGCGACAAGGACACATCAGACACCGGGTTGATTGGTGTCAGGTGTGCCTCGTCACCGAGTGTGGGTGCTGGAATCTGCAGCTAAAATAATAAATCAGCTACTTGTTGAGACATCAACATGTAATACACCAACACAATGATCTAAATATACTGTAATGTCTATTTGCCTCCCTTAGTTACTGAACTTTGCCTTTGTGCCACTGTACGTGCGGACGGCTTTCACTGGCTGCTGCGCCTTCGTCTGGGCCACCTTCCTTTGCTTCTCACATCAGAGCGGCGATGGCACGGCTGCTGCTGCTCTAGCATGGATGTTCCCCCCTAAAGAGGATGGAGCAGAAACCATAGAGGAGAAAGCAGACTCTGAAGACAAGGTAGTAGCTCTCGGAGATGGAAAGGTAGCATCTAAATCAGAACCTGTTGTTATGGAAGGGCCAAAACCTGAACACTCCTCCCAACAGGATACAGGTGGTTCAGTGGGCAGTTGTTCTGTGATTGGTTAATGTTGCACTATCACTGCTGTGGTTTGATGGTTTGAGGTCTAAGGTTCACTGGGGTTTTACTACAAATGTTACATAACACTGTAAGGTGCTATGGGGAACTAACCTTTTGTCCTTATTCTTTCAGTAAAGGATTTGTGAGGACTTGTGTTAGGTTGATGTTTTGGATTCCTCTGCTTTGTACCTCAATTAATGTGATTATATGATTTGATGTGTCTCACAGAACTGTGCTAATATTGTGAGTAACATAATAATATTGCTGTATTTAAAAGGGGCCACAGAAAAACATTGTAATCACTACAGCTGTTTGATCCCTTTTATCACACACCTTTAAGTATAGGAACTTACACTAGTGTAATACTGGAGTGTTTCTTATTAATTATTTCTGATTCCTGCTTATTTATATGCTGATGTTCTACACTGGAACTGCAAGGTAAAATCTCTGAATATTTCCTCTGGTCATATCGGCAACCGGAGTCATACAACTGTACGCAACTGTAGACTTTGAAATGTCTGTCTTGATGATTTTTGACAGTCTTTAATAGAGCAACCCTTTGATAAGTGTTGACTGTAATGTATGAAAAGTGATTGATCACACTTTGAGACAGTATTTATTGTTGAATAAATGGAAAACATTCCATTGATTCATTGTGTGAGCGTCTCCTGAGCACCTCTACAGGAAGCAAAAAAGTGTGTGGTCACTGAGAGTTGGTCATCCACTTGAACCTAGAATTTTATAACCTTTTTTTCTCATGCAGCTGATCTGAATAATTACACGCACCTCTGATAATTTGCCATAATCTGTGTGGGTGTTTATTTCTAACAGGCCCTTATATAAGATCCCATTTGTCATATTTTATCTTAACCATTGAAGACCACCTTAGGTGGAAATACCTGTAACCTAACCTTCTACTTTTGTATCAGCATGCCAGATAACAGCTAACACTACAGAGACAAAATGCTTAGGCATATTACTCTGTTTGTATCCCTTTAATAGTATTAAACACAGAAATATATCCAAGCAAATGTTTTGCATATTTAAATGTACTAAAATAAATATTTAAATAACAGAAAATGTAACAAAAAAAAATGGTGCAACTGCGTGACTGCTGTTTTATTTTTAACGTCATCACGTTGCCAATGGGTGTCTCCCAAGTCCTCGCATCCCTGCCCGCACAGCGCATGCTCCCTACATCCGCTCCATCTATACTGGGGGACTTGAAAGCTCCGATAAAGATGCTCAGCGTCTCGGGACGTTGGCACCTCGTCACCGGGTGAAGCTGAGTTATCTGGACGAACACACACCGAGTCGATTCAGCGGAGCCAAGTTTAAAGGTTTGCGCGCGCGGGCACCGACATGGAGCTGAAGAAATCTATTTCAGATACC